GTGTCTCTGTTAATACTAGCTATGTAGTTATACTTTCCAAAGTACTAGCCGCTGAAATAGGAATGTGCGCCGAAAAATTTATGGGCTTCTAGTTCCTGTCTTTTCCGCCGACTCGTCAAGATTAGATCCTTCCGTAACTCCGACTCGTGAAGTTGCGGTGTAACGATAAAATCAAACACCGAACAGCCGATTTAGAACCCCTTTTGCCGGGTTCGTTCAGTACTCGGCGTTTTCTACAGTGTACTAAAATATTTCAGTGCACCGCGGTTTTTTACTCGGAATGCCGCCAAACCGGAAAACCGCGTAGTAACTGCAGGCGCCAGCACGGTTTGAACAAAACCCTAAAACCGCTTCGTTTTGTCGCGCTGGTGGGGGGAGCGGGTTGTTATTAGAGCTGCAGGCTTTTGTGGCTGGCGCAAGGCCAGCCTCGCCGTGCCGCCGGTCCTTCCGAGCTGTCGACGGGAACGGACCGCGCTCTAGCCCTCCGTCGTTCAACCTCGCTCCGCACGAGCTACGCCTCAGCCCCCATCCAGTCATCCGGCCGGGCGGTCCGGCCTTCGACGGGGCTTTTTGTAGACACCGCCGCCGCACACTTTACACGCTTCCAACCATAAAACGCTGGTCATTATAGCGCGACGCCGCAAGAGCACCGGTCTGGCTTCGTTTTTATTTCGAGTTTTGGGCCCGTACTACGTTCACCTCTAAGCTGGCAATGCGGTGAGAGCTACGTGTTCGGCGGACCAATCAGCCGCCTCCCTTTCATCACCTGACCGCGCTTTCTGCTCGCGCGCTGGGGCGGGAGCGTGATCACGTGGCAAAATAAAGGCATATGATTGGTTAAGCAAGCGCGTAGCTTCCATCGCACCGTCAGTTTAGGGGCGACCGGGGTGTATAAAGGGCTGTAATATACTGGGTGGGCGAGGCTATCACCGTTGAATCGAAATTTTCTTCGCGTCGTGTTCCTTGGTTTCGCGTGAACCGAACCCCGTTTTCCGTTTGAGATTTGTTTTTATATAAATCGTGCGAGCCAATTTTTTTTTTTTTTTTTTTTTTTTTTAAGGTGCGTTGTTATTTTTGCACGATTGTGGTGGCCCGGTTATTCTTATAGAGTTTCGCTTCAACGGTTGGTAAATTGGTAAAATGTTTCATCGCCGATTCTGGAATAGATTGAGATTTTACGACTCTCTGATGTAACGGTGGGGTCAGGTTAGAAGTTTACCGGCAGGGCGTTCCGAAAACAGAAGTATCATTACTGGTCCGCTTTCTATTATGCTATTAGACTATATAAGAAACGACCCGATATATTTCTCCCATGTTGAATGGCCGGTCGAAAAGAGCGGGGCGGTCTTAATGTCGTCTGGCCTCTAGCGCTAGCTTCGTACCTTCGATTATGCTTCGGCGTCTCGCGAGCTTCGAGCGTGCACGGCGCAGCAAAAGCACGGCGGAAGGCATCGAGCACGTGCCGGATGTCGGGCATCTAAAAGAAACACCCTGCCGTTCCCACCCATTTAGTGATTATACACGCTGTACATTACGTGCATATGTAGTTGTGTATATTGACGCAATTTTGTGCGTGCCATACTGTTGCTCAAACTCCACCCCATACAGTCTATCTACATATACGCAGCGCTGACGCGAGGGTTAAGCGCTGCCACAACACCGTCTAAGTAACGAGGTCGAAATGCAATCCACTTATAACCAAATGTACCGCAATCCAAATATATATACGATATCACATATAACGACGTAATCCTTATAACCATCAGTTTCCAGAGTTTATAGGCTAGAAACGGTTAGTTTCTAGGCCAGATACAACGATAATCCTTTATAACGATTGAACTTCCGGATTTTCTCATTATCGTGATAAGTGGATTGCACTCTATAATTTGTTTCGCCTTAAGGTCAGACGTAGCCGACGCTAACGCTGATGGGACCAATCAAAAGACGGCAAAAGGGCACCATCGTGGTGTTCGTCGTGTTTCTGTAAACGTGTACCATCATCGCCGAACCAATCATAAACGGGAAAAAAAAGGCCTCATGACTCGAGCTTTCGACGTCACTCGTAGCGTCGGCTGCTCTGGATTTACGCAGAAGCGAAGTATGTAGATATTTTGTGTCATATATACGACAGGTGTTAGCTGTCTGTGACATACTTCGATTGAACACGGCACGAAACTCTTAATATGGAGGATATACGTGCTGTTGTTGGGGTTCGTGCAATGGAGCGAGCTATAAACGGCGCGGTCACACTGCTAATAATATATCACGCAAAACAGTCTGCAGAAGGTGTCCGAGGTGTCTCCCTAGATCATTTTGTCCTCTTGTCTGCCGCAAACACTGTGTGTCTTGTGTGACGTGTGAATAGTGTATGACTCCGGCCGGGAATTAATGAAAGTCGCATTCCAATGTCAACCAAGAATGAAAAGGCATTCCGATGTCGCGGGAAAAAAAAGGCTACGACTATTGAGAAAAAGTCGTCTGGTCCACGCGTCGCGCACTTTGTATTTCAGGGCAAAGAAACACGTACGTTTCAGAACTTGTTTTGCCGTGTAGCATATATATTTATATATCTTCCCCCTCCCTTCTTTTTGTTTTCATTGCACGCGCCCCCGAAAGGCCGCAGATATGACTTGAGAAAATGTTCCCTCGGAAAGTTTACATTTCCGAGTTTCCATAGACGTGTCGGGACTTCGCTAGGGCCGTTGACGAATATGCACGGTGCTACGTGCGAACACAATTTCTTTTCTTTCCAGAGTGGAGCTTGAGGCAGCAAACATGCTTTGTTCAAAAGGGGAAAAAAAAATAGAAGTCGCCCGGGAATACCATTTGATATGTCGACTTTCTGGCCAGATAAACGAGATCTAGCACGCAGTCTGCATCGCAATTTAAATGTCTTCTTAGCGGTCTGAGACTGCACGGTCTCGCCTGGCTGGAATACTGATGATCGTAACGGTAGCCATATCCGGATACGAGATGTTTTCGAAGCGTATATGCACGGGGCGATACTGGGTATGGGCAACATTTATAAGATTAAAACTGTATTATCCCTGCATTCTTGGATGCAGACCGAGATTTGTGCCGCTTATACGTCGCTTTCCCGAGCCTTTTCTTCACCGCAAAGTCGGCAAGAAGAGTGCGTAGTTGGATTGGAACTCCACTCGGCTGCTTGCTGGTTTGTAGGCAGGTTATGAAAGACAGGGCGGGGCTTGTGGTACTCGGGGGATCCTGCTTCGCGATTGGCTCTTCGGCGTTCTTATCTGCTAATGTCACATTCTGATTGGCTGCAAAGCGATAAGGAGATGCTCCGTATCCTGTGTTCCTCGAGCTACCAGCGACCGTAGCGGGCCACGACAAAACTGTTACACGACGGTGGGGAGGCAGGAACGTGATTCTCCACGCGTAATTTCCAAAACGATCGTGAGACTTTGTTTTTCTTTGGAACTTTTTTGTGGCGGTTGCAAACGGTTCTGGGCGTGTCAGGGCCGATTGCGGACCGAGCAATGCGTCACCAGTTGGCTCGCACTCGTTAACAATTTATCTGATGGCGAACGTTTGCGTTCGTGGTCAATACACCTGTTGCTAAATTACCCGAGTATCATATAGAACGCGTGCTGGCGTCTGCATAGCAGCAACATTTCTAGAGCAAGAGTCTAAAACACACAGCCTCTTACGCGCGTGCTTGTCTACTCCTTAATTTGGTTATTTATTTCGAATTATTTTATACGGAGAAGGCGATCGCGTGCCGGGCGTAGACCTATACACGATTGCAAGCTGGGCGACTGGCCGCCGCCATGTCTCTGCTCGAGAAGGCACGCCCGTGCGATTACGAGCTTGCCAAAGCTACGTTCACCCGCGCGTTGCACGCGCTTGCACGAATGGGGCACCACTTGTGGCGCCATGCTTGCAATTGTCTATACATTCCCACCATTATCCTTGATGCTCGGGTAATTTAGCGATAGGAAATATTCACTGGCGCCCATAGCTGTGTACGCGACTGCTGAGCGCATGCTGACGGCGAGCTTCCACAGTTCTTTTGCAACGGTACCTCCACACCATCAATATTGCGCATCTTGCAGCCTATAAATGTGAGCTCGTTCTGAGCACGCGCTCTGAACAACGCCCTCAAATATGGCGTCCAGTGAATACCTCCCATAGGTCTATGAGTGTGGTGTCAGAAACGACTGAACTCTGTTAACGTCCGGTCTGCGGCACATGCTATAACAGGCAGTGCCAACCCAGGTGCGCGACGGTGTGTGGAGGCCAGCGCCTGCGTGCTGCCGAGTCGAGCACTATAGGGGCTCGTGCCACACAAAGCCATCAACAATATACGAGCCGGACAAAGTTGGAACCGGCCAGGATCCAGTGATTTTAGGCTAAAGAACACCTGACAGCGTGATCTGATATTACCACCTAGAAGAGTAGGCCTAAGCATGATGTCATCGCTAGTGCATCCCCGACCCACCTCAAGCGGCAAACGCGCTGAAGCTCGGTGAGAGACGCTGCAAAGCGGTGTACCCTTCCGTCCTGGCGTCGCCGCAGCATCGCGCGCGTCGTGAGACGCTGCTAGGACGCTTCATGACGTACTTGCCTCGCTATACTGACGCATGGCTAGGCAGCACCGAGTGGATCTACTGGTGATTACATTTTCGGGGGGGGGGGGGGGGGGGGGGTCGCAGGTTTTGTATTCTAGGCTGTATTGACTCTGGTCGCTAACCAGGAGAGCGGGCACCGTATAGACTTCTTCCGGGATTAAATTTGTCACGATACGAGTAACTGGGCGTTTCACTATACTTCGTTTCACCTTATATAATGGTGCTGCAGTGGACGCTACGAGTTGTAGATGCCAATCCAATGTGTGTGTGAGTGCGTCACGTGACCCTCGGGAGAGATACAGCGACGAGCCGTGTTCGTAGTCGCGTGATATATGTTCGCAGCCAGGCACGTTGCCAGCCAGATATATGAATAGATTTTATAATCCGTGTTTTACATTTTTGTTACAGAGGAATCGCCATCTCATGGAGGACATCGTATCTCCGTTGAGCACCTTGCGAAACATTTCCGGTGAGTCGACAATTTCACCGTCTTCCTGCTTTCTATTCGGGACTACCGCAGGCACTGTCGACAAGAACACAAGATTTTTTTTTTCTCCATGATCCAGACATCAAGGAGGAGAACTGACTTTAACGTCACTGACTGCTAAGCAAACGCAAAGCGTGGCTCGGTACCCTCACACTACTGGCTTCGGAGATTCGTCTATCGCCATTGTGATTGGCTGACGCCCAAATCTCATTGGCCGCGGAGCGGCGATTCGATCCTCAGGACTGACCATGCCTTGCCTTTCTGAGGACATGTCAGTGACTATAAATAGACCAACTCAACCCTCTAACGCCATACCACTGCGGAGGCGCTGCTGTCGGCACTGCGCATGCGCCAACGCTTTCCCTTTTCCCGGATTTGATCTTTCCGCTCGCGCAGTGCCCACATCTGGTGTGGGCAAACCTGGGTTCGTTTGTAAATAGTGTGTTGGCGTATAGATTTTAGTAAATAGAAAGTCTCCAAATTCCTATAGGCAATCACGACGAACTATAGAGGGACCTCCTCAGCGAATGGCAACGCTCTTGTTACGATCTGAAAAAAAGAAAAAAAAGCGACGTGGGCAGGGACAACGGGCGCATGTGAAACTTCATGTCCATGGTCCCTGCTCGTGATCGGATTCTGAGCTTCGTCATTCGCTGGCACTGTTCCACGGTTTGCCGTGATTTTTCATCTACATTTCTGCTGGACCGCAAACTCGCAGATCTTCTCAGAGCGTAGGAGGATGAGCGGAGACCCCATTTCTCGTGGCAACCAGTCAAAGCTTTGTTGCGTGTCGCCCATCACGTCTTACGTAACGACGCCTAGCGCCCGGAGGCTTCGGGTATACCACGAGCGGTTACGTCAACGTCTATGCGAATCTGTACAACGCGGTCGTATTAACACAAATAAATGACAACCAAAAAGAAAGAAGAAGGGCTGGGTGATATCCAACACGTGCAGTTTGCGTTTCTGAAACTCGGGAGAGATTTGAAGCGAGCGATTCTCTCGCGGAGGGACATAAAGGGGTATCCACACGAAGGAGAACTCCGCGGACGGATGCCGTGACGTCAACAACCCGGGAAACTCCGTCCCCGGCTTTGCCGCGTGCACTTGCGGAGCTTCCGTGCTGTCAGCACAAAGCCTCCGCGCCTCCGCCACGGAGGAGAACGCGCCGCGAGGCGTCAAAAAGGGATGACGTATGTCTCACGTGATGCGCGATCCGCGGAGGGAAGTGGCGGATTTCTCCTTCGTGTGGATACCCCTTAAGATGGATGTAGCTGCGCCTTCTCTTTATTTGTGGGACCTTACCTCCGGGTTGTAAAACACCGAGCCCGTTTGTATTTATAGCTCGGGCTTCGTGACCACTTGGCGGGGACCCTTCGGGCGTCCTCTTTCTTTTGCTCCTTCAGTCCCGACAACATTATTATTTCTTATATTCTTCGATGATCAAGTGGCTCTTGGGTCTGGCGACGGCGCGGAGAAAGCTATCAATGCTATAGGTTTCGCTCCGTTGCGAAGGGGCCCCTCCGCTTTCGCGAAAGTATTACGGCGTCTTTGCTCTCCGTTGGTGGCGCTGCATCGTTGACGTAACTCGGAAGCAGTATGCTAGAATATTCCGATAATTCTGAATGTTGATAAGGAGGATAATGATATGAAACATTCTTTACGTGTCTGAAGGATGCAGCTCTTTTCTTATGGCCTCGGCATCGGCCCCTTTAATGTTTATGGTGGGTGCATGTTGCGTTGTAAATGCGTGGCTCCAATTTGCCCCTTATGACATGTTAGTAATGCAGCGAGTTCCCAATGTCGGCCATCGCACTGAGACTGAGCAATTTGATGTCACTAAACCATAACGTTTAATTTCAATGAAGTTCATAATATGAGGACACGTCATATTTTGATTAGTCATGAGAATTCCCTGTTTCATGAGGCGATAGACGAACATTGTGATGTTAATCATATTTTTTAATATCTTACGATTCCCTTATAGCGTCAGCGGCAATCTTTGAAATGTTTATGGGAATGAAGGCTACGTTGGAAAGGCGTGTCCCTGATGTGTAGATTATGACGTGTCAGTCATGCAGCGAGTGGTTAACGTCGGCAGCCGCACTGCATCCGAGGCAGTAATGATTTTACTACACCTTTATACTATTTAATTTCAATTAAGTTTATAATATGAGGTCACGTCATGATATGATTAGTCCCAGGAATCCCCGTTTTATAAGGCGATAGACGAACATAGTAGAGATAGCAGGTTGCGTTCATATTCCTTCTGTGTGCGATTCTATGCGAAACACGTTCATCATTTTCGTTGTTCTGCTATACAAAGACAAGCCTCAAAAACTTATTTTGGCAGTAAGGAAACCAAGTAGATTACAGTTCTATCGTTTTGATGTCTGTTATAGTTTTACCTTTCTGAGATTGGTCAAGCCTATTTATTTAACGGCCAGAGTAAAATACTTCAAATGGTTAACACAAATTCTACTAAGAAAAAAAAAACAAAGCAAAACAGCTTTCGTGGACAGATGTAATGTGAGTTGTAGCAGCCTACCCACAGAACAAATGTAAGTAGGCTGGTACAAAATATATGGATTTTGAAACTTTTCGATTGTGTCCACCAGAAAACTAAATATACTAATTGTGCAGTGCATCCCACACGACAAATACCACAAGTTATCAATGGCAATTAGTAACGCCCATGACAGTACCATGAAAAAAAGGCAAAAACGCTCGCAAGAATGGTTATTATTTGCCCGAAATTTAATATTTCGTGACGCGAAGAGCACCGTGTCTTAAAGGATAGAGAAGCACGATGGTCTCGCGGATGATCATTCATGGCCAAAGGGTCAAGGCCATCGGGAAGGTTTACAAAGTAATATGTTTTCCATAAGACGGTAGCTTTCGACGCGATGATGAAATTATTCAACCTATTCCTTTCTTCGGTGACCCCAAAATAGCAGCTTGGATGAAAGGACGGGACCCCTCCGATCTAGTCGGGTGCAGCCTGAAATGGCGAATTTAATTAGTTCGCTGAAGGCGCTTCTGTGTGTCAATGAGGAAAACTTATGCATCAGATACTACAGTTTCCCCCACGTCGCTATTCAAAGCGGCGGTGAGCGCGAGAGAAAAGCGCCGGTGGGTGGGTATGTACTACGCTCACCCCTACACTAATAGTGTTGCGGAAGCTGCGTGCTCGAGGGACCAGTGGCGCGTCTACTTTTCGGCACGTGATCACGCCCTTTGCCATACACACGAGCAAGGGCGGGGTCAAGCGATGAAAAAGAGGCAGTCTATTGGTTCGATGAACGCGTAGCTTCCACGGCACATTCAGCTTGGACGGAGTATATAGTAGAGCGCCGTGGGCTTAAAAGGTCGGACCTGCATTATCAAAAGGAGACGCACTCGGGGAAATTACGTGTCGCGCGCATGAACGGCTAAACCTTCGGCACGTGGAAGTGAGGCAATGAGGATTACGGGCTTCTTATCTCTAGGACTCTTAGCGTATTCGTGCGGTCGTAGTCCTTCGAGGCCGGTGCGAACGGGAGCGTCGTTCGAGGAGACGCTGGAAGGTGCCGGATCGTAGGAGTGGATTAAGGCGGCACGGTTTAGGGGCCGGATTATGGGATTAAGGCCGACCGAACTTGCTAGGATCGAATGTGCGTGGGTTTTATTTATCTGTGGGGGGACTCGGAGACAAACGCGGTCTGTTCGGAGAAGAACGTGGTCTCGGGCGACGCAGGTTTTCGCTCCGTTACTCGGACCGTGACGTCGTGACCCGTAGATTAACTATTGATGAATCTACTATATACAATTTCCATTGCGCGTTTTTGAACCTACTTTCACGGTTTTGTATTAGAACGCCAGGCGTTGTGAGTATATGATTCGCTCGAGAAAGGTAGCGAGTGAACCTGCTGCCACAGCTTTCTGATCTAGCCGGTGTCCTCGATTTCGCTGGAGTCGCCAATAAGCTGTTCACTGTTTTCATTGGCGTAATTATGTTCACCATTTAGTTATTATGAGCTGTCTGGTACGTGCCGAAGGCGAGAATTTGAGCTCCAATGATTTTCTTGACACAGTCACATACATTGGGGACAGAAGCTTGTACAGAGAGACACTGAAGAAGATATGATAGTGTGTGGTAACGTCAGAAGGCGGCGAGCTCTGGTTGGAAGGATCACTAATCCTTCTAATCGGAACTCAGCACTTTGACGTGACCGAACGCTTTCAAGATAGAGTAATACAGTAAACGTAAATGGTGCACACTCCCATAGGACCCAGCGGCTCAGAAAGTAGAAGGACATGTAGGACACCTAGCAATCGGCATACGCCCTAAATAAGTTTCGGTTTTGATTAAGGTTAATTTCAGTTCCGTATTTTTCAGCCTTAGCTTAGCATCGCTTCGGAGCTTTTCTTTTTTAATTTCTTTTAGATACTTACTTGTTTACTTCTTTTGTTATTTTGAGTCACCCTTTAAGGCTAATGACGGCCTTTTAGCGCATTTACGTTTATTGTTAGAACTTTGTTTTTCTACGAACTCAATCTATATACCAAAAATGAGTGCAGGGGCCGTGTTTTCCAACCATCGTTTTCGTTTTCCAATAGAAAGCGCAGCCCCAGTTCTAAACAAAAATCTATACAACTTTTACAACAAAAACTACATGAGTCCCCATGTGTCTGTTCGAAGGAGCTGTGTACCCGAACCCAGGAAACAAAGGCCACAACAAGAAGTGATAGGAAAAATTTTTTATTCTAGGCAAAATTATGTACAAGCAGCCAAGTAGCGTGTTGTGTAGCTACTATAATCCTTGGATGAAGAAGCAGGAGAAAGCTTGCGCATTCTTACGTGATAATGTAAGACTGTGTGCGTGGTAGGCAAAATAATTTTTTTATGAAGACACATAAGAACTTTGAAAGAAAATTGACTCCTAACACTATTTTTTTTTAAATATTATAAAAGGTGAAAGCAATAGTAATTGGGTTTTGTG